TAAAATAAATGGCCATGTTTGATTTGGATGAAACTTTGCCTCAAGATAGGTAATTATGTTTACTACCAATCGTTCATACATCGCGAGATGGGAACTTTTAAGGAAAAAACTGATTTTTTTTTATTGCCATTTTCACACAAAACTAAACCAGTGAAGCTCAAAATCATCTCAGAATCCAATGAAGCTCAATTTGCAATTCAATTTTGTCTAATCAGCACTTAAGTTCACTTTGATTAATCGAGAATTTCATATGAAAAGGGCTCATGATGCATTTCTCGCCAAATCGTATTTGGAATTGGCAGTACCCTCTCAGAGTTCAATAAAACTATTTGGACATGTAGACCTTGTCAAAAAAATATAATTCCTTTATTCTGTTGACTACTACTGATGCAAAATTTGATAATATGTGAGAGAAAAAAGACAAGATTTTTCATATATCATTTATTTATATAATTTCAATGTTTTAAACCTATTTTCATACATGCTATTTTTTCCTTTTTCCAATCAAGTTAAATATTTTTGGTTCATCTTCTGAATTAGAATACCTTTTTGCCGCTACTTTGTCACCAGTTATAGGCACAAAACTGTGGAATTTCTGTGTGCCAGATATTGTATTTGTGCTGTTATATAGTTCTTCGAGTTCTTCTGACATTTCGATGTAATGTTCAGTGGATATGTACTCGAAACTGAGTTTTGTGATATTTATATCTGTTTGTTCAACTACCCAGTTATATAATTCTCGTGGAGTTGTTATGGTGTTTCCATAATCTCGAGCAAGACTAGCTCTCTTTGCCATTCGCTTGAGAGTGCCACCAATGGCATCACAGGGACCTTTTCCATGAGACGATGCAAAAAATGCCATTCTGCTTCTAATCCATGCTTTGACTGAAATCTACACAGACTAGCAAAGTTTTTTTTTTATTTTTTTTATTTTTATGCTGCCTCATCTGACATAAAAGTAATTTTAGAAAAACCTATCGATTGTTTAATAAAATCTATCATTTTTGAGATGAACAACTGAACTGCAACTGTATCGTGAGTCATTACTTCTGATATGATAATGAAGCTAACATTTTCAAGTTTATTGTCTTTCCTATAATAAACTTCAAATGGATGTATTGTTGCTTGAGAATTATTCCAGTAATATCCTTGAGCAACGTTTTGGATAATGAATGAATAATTTTCAGAAAAATCACAAATTGCTAGAATGTCGCCTTCTTTTAATGATTCTTTTTTATTTCTTAGAAAAGATGAAGTCATGAGTTATAAGTTTGTTATTTTTATCAATGAGATACGGAAAAAATTCATCAACAGGCTTGATAATCGTTTCCAAATTACAACGATCAGTATTCAGCCACTGTTGAAACACAACATCTTGTTTGTCATTTGATTCTAATAGCAAAGTAAGTTCCTCTTCAATATGTTCATTGGAAGCACACTTTTCGCAAGCACGGAAAAAGCAATCTGTTGTTCTAGTAGAAATATTACAAAGTATTTTTTCTATTATTGCATCTTGTGACATAATTCTTAAACTGTAGATCATTAATTTTACATTTTCATGAATTGTACAAATACATACATTATGTATACCAGTAGAATCAAGCAAAATGCAATGTTTTGGTCGCAATTGTGTAAATACAGTGAAACCAATATTAATATCTTTATATTTATCAAAAAAAAAATCATGTACGCTTCTTTGAGGGACATCATTAACAGGCGTTTTTTAACGTGTTCTTTTCGTCCATTTCTAAACTCAGAAACAAAATCATTTGTTCCGGGCATAGGTCTACTAATATCATTGTCATCAAAAAAATCTCGAACTAGTTTTTTTGTTTCATCGTTGATCCCATGCCCACTTCTTTTGTTGGGTGTGCTTAGAATACACTGCTCATTAACAAGGTTCTTCACCTGCCTCACCATGTACGCTGGTGCGTTGAATTCTGCTACAACTTTATTCACGGACCAAGACTTTGGCAATACTGATAATACTGTTATCTGAGCTTTTCTGTCAGCTGTAGGAGAATTGAACTTCTCCTTTAGCTGCACAATCATTTCTTCGTATGCCTCTTCTTTGCTAATGTCTGCTGTATCTAGGCCAAATATATTTTTTCGCACTACTTGTGTAATTTCTAGAGATTTCATTGAACGATAATCCATGCTCCTCATGTTCCTCGATGAAATTGGAGATAAATTTAACGTTTCCACAAAGCCATTAAACTTCTCAACATTGTATGGGCGTTGCAGATCATCTGCTGATGGAACTGACTCCAATGATGGAACCGATGGTACCGTATCTGAAGGAAAGAAGAAGAAAAAATAATTAATAAGTGCAATTAGGAGGTTGCAGTTAAAAGTTGATATAATCATCAGGATGACTGTTCTTACCTAGCTCATCTACGGATTGATGGCCACTCATTGATGGACTTGGATCATCACTATGCTGCTGCCCACTAGTTGACGGTTGGATATATACTTCATTTCCAACCGATCGGCGTTTTTTCATAACTGAACTTTTATTATGAGATATCACGCTACGGCATGACTCACAAATACTCATCGTTTCATCATTTCAACACTGTGGTGTCCTAAATTTTGGCATCCGTAGAGCCCCGTTTAAATGGCAAAATGATGGTTTATGTTTATTAGTTTTCTGTTCTTCAACATTGCGAAGAGATGTTTTGACATAACACATAACAAAAAATATCAATATATCATATTCAGAATTACCATGAAATTATCCTTTAGGTGAAAGGGGACGTCATTAATTTTCAAAAATTCAAAACCAGTATTACGTTCATGGAAATATGTTTATTGCATTTCACTAGCCTACCGGAACACAAAGAATAGATTTTTATTTCAAAATATTGGTTTTTAAACGAAAAAATCTGCTTTTGAATTTCCAAAAATTAATGCCGTCCCCATTCTCAATCCCCCTGACACATTCCTAAAAATTGAATTTAATTTGTGATGAATTTTTTGGAACCATCTTTAGAATTTCCTTGAAGTTCTTTTCTAAATCTAAGTATTAATATGAAATTATCTTCGGAACACCATTTAAATTCTATTCATAAACCTCATTGAATTCTCCTTAAAATTCATCTGGTATTCTCCTCACGATTCAAAAACACGTCTCTTCAGAATAACCTACGAATTCAATTCAGAACTTCCTTTCCTCTCCCCCTTGAAATTCAACTGCCCCAATGTTCTTCTGTTATCTGACTGTATATGTGAGAGTTTTTAGTTTTCTTTTCATGTTATCAACTTGTATGATTTACTGCTCCTTTTTTTAAAGCTTTAGTGTTCGATACAAATACAAAACTAACCAACGATTAATTTCTTGAAACATATTATTGAGAAGGATATGATTATTGTCTTTAAGCTGAGGCTTCTTTCAAAAAGGGGCCCTGGTTTAGTCCACCATCGCTCTACCGTTAATACAGCACTGTACATTTTTCAAGACTTTCATTGAGTCTATAGAACCTAGAATAGTTTGGAGAGCAATAAATATCTTGATGATACCATTGATACCAAACAATCGCCTATTGAAGAAACGACTTCTTGACGATTTTATTCAACTGCATATTTAATAATACTTGCACTATTTTTAATAATAACTTCTCTTCAGGCTTTGTTCACACAAATCTGGAGAATTTATTCAACAACAACATTGAACTACTTGGTGTTGGTTAAGGTATGTCGAGACGATCATCAAATTTGGAACTGTTCATAAACTACGTAGACAGACTAAATACCTATCAGCACTCAGAATTGTAACTCTAGTTCCTAGTTTTACATGTGATCAATTCTACCTCTTCACCTTTCCAATTTTCAAGGAAAGGATGCTGGTTTATTTATTGAACTAAATCAATGAATTTGTTGTCGTGAGTGATTTGATCGATGATTACGATTTAGAACACAAATAAAAAAGGGATGAGCTTGGGATTGAACTCGAGACCTTTTACTTGGAAAGCGGAAACGGTAACCACTATTTTACTGATATCGTCTTGATGTTAGGCTGAACCAGTGTTATGGAATAATGAATCAAATATGTCGTTTATAAAGCATTTACAAAGCATGCGATTAAAACATGGATGCATAGTAGTATATGAGCTATTCACCTTTATTCAGCAATATTGTAAAGCAATGCAATGGAATCTAATAAAGGAGCTAGAAATAATTTATCAGACGTCTAATAAAGCACGTTATTAAATGAATTGAAATCACACTTATTCAGTTTGTTATTAGACCAAACTTCTGGTGCTGAATCAGGAAGACAGTCAACGTTTATAAAGCTTTTAATAAGTAAATTAATCATATCATAGCAAACAGTGGAATAATGGCGCATCTATCGATCTCAATGAGATGTTTTCAGCGCCTAATTCGACAACCCGTTTTATTCAGCATTTTACACTGCTATACAGCATTTACTCAATATATATATGCTTATTTGTGACTCTGAATTGTTTGTTGGGAGGCTCGCTTGAGCTTCACGGAATCATAAAGATTTTCAGGACATTGTTAAATATAAATAATGTTAATTATTCATAATGTTGGGGAAACTTTACCGTACCGTAGTTTGGTTGGACGAGCTAAGAGTTGCGACAAATTGACATTTTTAATTTAGGAAAATTTACGGCTTCTGAACTTCTTTACCAATTACATACAATAACAAGGCATACAAGTGCCGAAGCTGTCATTCCTCCTACGTCCCTTTGAAAATTCATCCTTGGTTTCTCTCTAGCAATGTAAGATTGAAAATGAACATGTTGCAGAAAAAGTAATATGTATGTTAATTCGGTTTCTCACTAAATACTGCACCGCAACTGCGACGGTGGTGGCTTTACGTTTTGATCAATCCTACTATAGTATGTTGTATACTCTTGAACACACCGGCATGAAAACTTTACGGGAGGCACTATACAACCCATTCAAACTGAAAATGCTCTGGGCCCCAAGCTATGCTTCGCGCCATGGTTTTCAGTCGAGTATATTCTCCGGACGTGGTTAAACGTACTTTCGACCCGCGCGCGCGCAAACTTCACGCTTACATGAGTGCAGTAGCCGACAAAATAAAACAATAACAGTTGGAAGAATAATTCTCTTTAGGGTATGTTTCAAATTAGAGTAAAAGTTACCTTCGCCATGGTTCAGTGAGAAAAAAGTCACCTAAGGTTACATGTATACACATGACCGGCATCCGTATTGTTGTTTCAGTGAGTGTGAAAAACCTTTGAAAAAAGGGAAGTGATTTTAATTTGAATGTTTGGTTTGTTACTGCTTTGGTGATGTTGTACTTTTTTGTTTTATTTGCAACTGTGGGATTGCATGCTGTTGTGATACCAGATTTTTTTTCTTGTTGTGACTCATCGCCGGAGCTGTTAGCGGAAAGTTTAAACCATTTGTATGTCTGCTGAAAACACGGAACTTGTGACTTTCTTATTGCCACTATGATTTGTTCTTTTTTAGAACAGAAATGGATTTATTGGTAAGTAATAACAGATTCATTACTGAGAATCGCAGGTTACGACTTTATATTTAGATCGGGGATGGCCCATTTAGCATAAAGACGATTTGCACAAGGAAGTTTTGTATAAGCACGTTTCGCATAATAGACATTCCGCATAATGGACGATCCACATTAAAGTTTATATACAAAGTGGATTAAATATTTTATATTTTTTGGATGTGACCAGGCCCTATATTTTAGATCTGAAGGAGACAGATTGACTCAGTCGTGAATCCGATCTTAAATACCGAGATTTTCTAGCTTCCAAGTGGCAGCGTTCCTTCTCGGTAAATTATTAACGGAGGTTTACATGAGGCAGGATTTTCAAACATGGCGTGATATAATCCGATCCAAAATTAATATTGGGGTTAAAATAGTGACCGTAAGGCGGTTGATGTTGTTTACGGTGAATTTAAATGTGTTCTGGGTATCTCGCTAGACATAATGGTAGTTTAACTGATGTTTGATAACAAACACAGATATTAACTTAAAAACATTACAATCAACATTTTTATTTTAATACCAATACCAGTACCAATCTTGTTGTATATTCTTTTGAGGTGAGAGTAAAATTGACAAACGTTGGGTTAAAACAGGAATTCAATGGTAAGATTGGTAAAAGCAGTTTAGATGATTATTTGGTACTGAAGTAGCTAAAAGTGATGTCTTAGGAGCTACACTCATAATATTTGAAAAAGGCCCCAGCAAAACATAAATTATCCGGAATTATTTAGCCGCATTTGTAATAAATAAAACTCATACATATCGTAAAATTTCAATTTGTTAGAAATGTACCAATGATCCTCAAACGAAATCCAGGAAATGTAAATAACAGTTCATTTAATCACATTTGCAAGATATGTCCCCATATTCTTCTTCTTCTTCTTCTTCGCTTTTTACGCTTATGTAGCTAGCGTTCTGCCGGCTCACAACTTGTTGTTCTAGCTGCACTTCCACAGCTACTAATTGAGTGCTTTCTATAACAAATTTGTATATTGTGTGGCTACCTGTGAGCCCTGTCCATTTTACCCCATTGGTCTGCATATTTTAAAAATGTTCGCAATTGAACAACATTAAACGCCGGCGCCAGTGGTGTAGTGGTAAGCGTGACTGCTTTCTCACCCCAATGGGTCTGGGTTCAATCTCAGCCGAGGTCGGTGGGATTTTTCTGAGGCATAAAAATCTCTGGTCACGTCTTACTTCGGAAGGGAAGTAAAGCCGTTGGTCCGGGCCCATGTGTGTTTGAATGGGTGCGATATCCTACACAGGTGTGGAAGCTGTCTTCCTGTACATTCGATTGCCGTCAATGGATGGCAATCGATGTCCATCGGTGATTGGCACTAGATTGCGGAACAGAGACCGACGTTATATAAAAAAAGGGACAACATTAAACATCTTTCGTTGAGAATCTATGTTGAAGACCTAAACTTTTTTTATAGCTATATTAGCGAGATTTTTAGCTTGTTGGCTAGTTCATCTCGTACATGAAGATCTAAACTTTTTAAATTGGGCAGCGGCTATTACAGTTTTTGAACTTTTTCCTTGTAACATTCCTTAGTTCAATTTTGTAACAATAACATCATGTTCATGTTCCGGTTGTCATGAAACAAAGTAGCAATAATAGGTAAATTATCGAAATAGTGATATTTTACGTTTTCTTGTCAAATTACGTACCTGAACGTTTTACCTCGCCTCGTAATAGCTACTAGTGATTTTTTTTGTTTGGGTCATAACTTCTGCGATCATTAATTAATTGATCTTTTGTTATATAGTACGTTAAATAAGTATAACATCGTGATTTTTTTTTTATCCAAAAAAGTACAAAGAGCTGTGAATTTTCCGACTGTTAATGAAATTTTCTGAAATCTTGGCGGTTGGTTGATCAAGTACTCGAAATTTATCTCTATAGTCTTGGACTTGAATAGTCGATTTTGAAATTAGTTTGAGTGTTCTTAGGAAATCTCCTCTCTTCGGAGTAGCATTTAAACAAATTTAATTTTCCTGAAGAACAGTTATTCGACTATGTTAAAAAATGTTTCACTGAAAGCCAAAACACAGTTCTTTATTACGGTTCAAGTTTTACTAATATCCGTTCAGTCTAAAAAAATTTAAATAGTTTGATTTTTTCACCGTCTGAAAAAAAAGAGATTGTTATTTTTGTCCGTTTGGGTTTTTCATTTGTGAACAGAAGTATACAGTATCGAAAAAAGTTCAAAAAGCCATAACTTTAAGCTGTAAGAAGTTTGAGCACTTTTAGCAAAACGCTTCGCTTTGGAGTATCGCATATAAATAGGAATTGCCTGGAGTAAAATAATCTAGCTGTGCTGTAATTTTGTTCATTGGTAGGCAGGCATAAAATAAATTGGGCATGGGCATTTTTTCACTAAAATTCACTTAGGAAAAAAAAAGAAATTGAAAAGTTTTGTTTTTAGTTCAAAATAACACCATGAAGCCAGGAGGCTCACCTTCCATTTGGTAGCTAAGGGTGTTACAAAAAACGTCTGTATGAAGTTCTGAAAAAAGTAATTTATAGGTAACACCGACGAGACTTTTGAAAAAAGTCCTATTTTAGCCGCAGGTAATTTTTACACATTTCTTGGAGTTAAAACAATTTAAGAGAAACTCGCCATGGCATGCTAGATGTGCTATTTTTTCGAGACAATTACAAGAAACGTTTATTTTTAGGTACATAATGTCATTTATTTATCAAAAGTGAGTATTAAAGCAAGAAATATGCGAAAAAGAAAGACAACAAAAAGTAACATAAATGGATGAAGTAGAGACGGTGAATAATGAGGAAAAAGAGGATTGCAGAATAGTATTAATAGCTTCATTGAATGTAAAAGGCTGTTCGAAAAAAAAAACGCAAGAAATAGATTCAGTAATGAGAGCGTTCAATGTAGATATTGCGGCCCTTCAGGAAGTTAACATTAAAGCGTAATCGATGTCGACGAGGAATTATGAGTTTTTTTTTTCCTTTATTATAGAGATTTAGGAATTATGAGTGGAAGATTGGTTCCAATGGGCAAAATAAGTTAAGAGGATTGGCTGTACTATCTAGGAAGGAATCAGATATAGAGATTACAGCAATAAAAAAGAGATTCATAGGAACAAGCGGCAAATGAGGTATTAAGATCATCAAAGGCCCCTCTAACACCTATAAGAAAGCAAGCGTTGCATCGATTAAGGAAAGCTACACATTTGGTAAACAAACATCCTTACCTTCTTCCATATAAGTAGAAAGACAGAAAGCAAGAATTTGAGCAAGCTGTTAGAAGTCGCAACGAGAGAAAAATAAAAGGCTTTTATAAAAAACTTAACGGCTTTGATGTAGCAGTATGACTAAAAAAGTCATATCAGTTTTTAAAGGAAATTTTGAAATGGAAAAGCATAGGAATGCTCATATTCCAATGAGACATTGGAATGATGTTGTCAAAGAATGTGAAGGACCTGAAATCATGCTTGGCATACACAGTTTTGGTGACGAACTGCTCATTTGCTAATAACTTTGCACACAGTTGACGAAACATAGTTCTTTTTGAAGTAGTAGATAGAATAGAGTTTAAGCTTGTTATAGATATGTAAAAAAAGTAGATTTTGCGTTGTAAACTTGAAGTGAGAAATCCTCGATACACATATCTGGCTTTAAGTGTAAAAATTAATTGGTGTTGATTCAAATGTTAAGATTCACCTACTCTTTGCATATCTATAGTTAACTATGATCCTTTAAAAAAAAACAAATTTCAACAACTGAGTGAAAAGTTATTCACAAATGAGCAACTGGTGTGTACATCTGTGCATGCCAAGCATGCCTGAGATAGAGTTTCTTGAAGATAACGATACATGCTCAATGACTGAACCACATAACGATGAGGACATGGTTTGTATTGTAAAACAACAATGTAATGGTAAGTAAGCTGATGGCAGCACAAGAATGAAACATCTGAAAAATTCCAATGAAGAGAAACAAATGAAATGAATAATATTTGGAAGATAATGGGGATTGAGAACAAAATTAAAGAGACAATACAGGTTCCTATACCTAAAATAGGTTTCCCAAAAGGAGTGCAGGATTTCAGACGAATAAGTCTGTGCAATCTCGAGCAAAGGATTATACCAAATTGATAACAAGTTCTGATACCCGGTTATCAAGATTTGATAACTGAACATTTTATCTTTGTGGTTGAATAAACAGCCAACATAACAAAAATTATAAATAAAGAATACATCTGGGATATCACAAAAATAACTGATTTAGTTATAATTGAAAACATCTAGATAACAAATTCTGTCATCCATGCCAATTTTATCAACAAAATTCCAAATTATTTTATCGATTTGGTATTAAAGCCTTACGCTGATAACTGAAATATAGTTGGCATTGTTTTTTTTTCTCACCATGTGGATAATATTTGAAGTTTTAAACTAACCTTGCATCATTTAATATTCTTTCATGATACCAACTGATAACAAAATTTGTCGAAGTTGATAACTAAATTAGTTATGCGATAACAACTGAAAATAAAATGATATCTTGAATAACAAGACTTGTTTTGAAGATGATATCAGGTTGTTATTTTACTTTGCTCGGGATGCGGGTTATAAACTTTACGCGAAATGGATCAAGAATCGTTTGAAGCAGTTTACCGGAGACTTTTACTGAAGGCAGATAAACCGATGGCCATATTTTTGTCTCAATACGGGTGCTTGAAGAGTATTGGAATGCGGGCAACCCTTCCCGAGCAGGAGAAAATAACTAATCAATGCCTAATTCTGACACAAAATAACTGATTTAGTTATAATTGAAAACATCTAGATAACAAATTCTGTCATCCATGCCAATTTTATCAACAAAATTCCAAATTATTTTATCGATTTGGTATTAAAGCCTTACGCTGATAACTGAAATATAGTTGGCATTGTTTTTTTTTCTCACCATGTGGATAATATTTGAAGTTTTAAACTAACCTTGCATCATT